TTTGATTGAGTGATTTGTCTTTGGTTTTTGAATTGTTTGTTTTTCATTGATCATTTTGAAATCTGAGAAATCTTTGGTGGCTTTCCATCTACCTAAAGGGAAATATAAAAACTTTGGATTACGTTTCTTACCCCAGCCAGAGCCTGGGTGACAATGCTTTTCATTTTTATAAATGATGTTCAGGAATTTTTTCTACCCCGGTCTGAATAATTTCTGTCGTTTCAGATGGCCATGCAGGCAGTTTATTTTATTTTATTTTTGTCCACCAAGTAAAATTTTTCAAAATTTCGGTGTCCCTCTGCATACTGGAAGATGAAACTCAAAACTTTTACCATAAATTTTAGCATAAATATCAGTGCAAAAAATAAAAAGACAAACATAAAGGCGAATATGAGCAGAAGCGCGTTCCTTAGGCGAGGGGTCGAGATGCAGAGCACGTTTCCGACTAATCCGATACAAAATGCGCTCATGCTTCTCGGCGCCTCGCGTATAAATCCTGCCTGGCGTTTAGATCCAATGATCTCTTCTTGAATGGGCACCCGAGCCACTGTTGGCATTATTCCTCTCCACCCCGCCGAGTCATCCCCGGGATCAGCTTTTTTCCCCTTGAATTACTCCATCTTCACGTGGAAAAACCTTCCTGTGTGTTCAAGCCCCGTGAAATTCATTCCATTTTTCTTTTAAATGTCTGTCTCAGAGAGGAAGAGAGCGACCACCGCGTGTTCCCGTCTTTCATCGTAATCACGGATCGCGCAATGACAAGGTTTCCTGCATGAAGACGCAGTCGAGCATTTTTCACGGATGCGCCTTCAATTAGTACTCAGCTGACCTGAAAGCACTCGGTGAGCTGTTATATAGTGATGATGAGAGGAAGACGGAGTGGATGCGTACGAAGAAAGGGGTCGGTCGTGAAACGTGGCGTGAGTGCGAAACGCGCACTTTTCCAATGCCTCTCTCGGGAGGAATAAAAGGAAAAGAGGTGCGTACTTGTGTGGGAAATCGAAATGACACGAGCAAGTACTGAAACCCCCTTGTCTTGGATAAAAGGAGAAACCACGTTCAAGCGCCCCGTGACATCGAGTTACACGTTCATTTGCCGACTGGCTGACTGTTGGTAACACGTCTAGTTAACGGCCGTGGTCGTGAGCCCATGCATCACGCCTCCGTTGTACACCATACCATTCCTCAGCAACGAAACAGAGACCAGCAGGAAAGAGTATCTTCCCACTCCTGTATTATTATTATGTATGGATTATAATTAATTGCTCTTTCAAATCTATATTTTACACTTACAGCATATAATGTACAGTGAGAACCCCACATGCCAACACCTCAATACAACGTGGACAATTCAACATGCAGGACTCACATTAAAAAAAATAATAAATGAGGTCCAACATAATGTGAGCACTGGTTCAAGATGCAGACAGTGCATGAAAAATTAGACAAGTTTTAGAAAGCATAAACATTTGTGGGGACGAATGGCAATAAGAAACTGACATTTGGAGCCACCCCGCAGATGTGTAAGTACTGTAAGGCACATATAGGCCTGCTAGGAAAAAAATGCTTTGGCTTTGTCATGATAATTTTCATATCAATTTTGCAAATATTTTTATTCCTAATGTTTTCCGAATGTTCTTTGTAAGTTGAAAGATATGGGGTGAATCATTGGTCACTAACCCAAAAATCCATTTATTACGGAATCCTGCTGAATATTTCTTTCGCAAACATGAATTAAAATGATATACTGTGAGCTGTCAAAAGGAAAATTTGATTCGACGTACAGACATTTTGTATGGGACACACTTGACAAACAAATTACATGTGCAAATTACATCTGCTGTGGGTTCCAATGTGTACATGCATACCCTTTTTTTCCTTCTTACAAGCAGTGAAACCCTGAGATGCAGATGTCATTGTCCTTTTGGACCTCGTACTTATGTTGGAATGCCTGCATGCTTGATCATTTAGACTTCAATGGGAACTTATTTAATTGGTTGTCCAGGTCTTTTGAAATCAGGAATAAATCCCCGAAATAATTGAGCAACATTTGCTTCTCAACTTAAAGATACAGAATGTAACTGCGCACAAGGAAACATCCCAGAATCTAATCTTTTGGCATCAAAAGTACATCAAAAAGCAAGAAAAAAAATACAGTTGAACCTCTCTGAATTAAATTTCTAGGGACCAAGACATTTTTTTGACATAGTGAGGTTTTGACTTGGGGAGGTTTCAATTTTTGGAGGTTTGGAAACAAACATCTTTGCTGCAAGGAAAATTAAAAGATTGTGGGAAATTATAAATGTGGATATTCTGGGCCTAAACATACTTCTTAATGAGTTTATAACTTGCTGAATTTGGACAGGGGTTCAATTGTTCAGTAAGTCTTTCGCCTAATGTCAAGATGCATAAAATCATTTGTTTTATTGATTTTCTCTTACATATTTCAAGAGAATAATAACCAAAAGGCCTCAGAAAATTTGACTTACAGAGGTTCAAGAGAAAAATACTTTCAGTTCAGGGGTTTTTAATGCCTTGTTTCTAAAAGAATCCAGGCATGGACTTGAAACATTTTGAGTCACAGAGGTATTCCACTTATCAAGGTTCAACTGTACAAGTTTTGCCATACTTTGCACAGATTCTGAAGAATACTCCAAAAAAGAAGCACAAAAATAACCTTTTTTTGCTTATAAGTTTAATTAAATTTATCATGAAATTAATTTTTAATTTTTGTGAATATAATTACTGTAGATCACTTTTTTCAAGGAATATATAAATTATGGCAAACATAAAGTTATACATGCCTAGAAATGCCGGAGAACTGTCTGTATGTACCAGATGTTAGGCAGGTTTTTTTTCAATTTTGAAGTGTTCCCAATTCAAATTGTCTGTATGTCAGGATCTCACTGTACTTTCATCAGCGCACTGAACTTTTATCGGACGGACAACCAAAAATGAAACGATCCCGCGACGAGAAACCATCATCAGGGACAACGGAATAAGTTTTTCCCATTCTGGCTCCCGTTAGTCCGCGAATTTAATTCTGACAACCTTGTTTTGAGAAAATTGCTTTTCCGATTGGGGCTGAAATCTCAGTACGCGAGTACTGAACATTCAAATTAACCTGGTCTCAATTCCTTGCCGATATGAACGATTTCAGGGTCCTCAGTCCAACACATGCCCTAACTCGAGCTTCGTTCGTTGCACAACGTCCAACGCAGAAAAATCTCGATGATAAATTTTGAAAATCCTTTCCACTGAACACAAATTTAGTGGATATTCATAGAACGGCAAAGCCTTTTTTGTAATTTTTAAAAATTTCACTCGTTTACGTACCTCGAGGCTGAAAAATAAGATATTTTATTACATACAGCTAATAACAATTTGCAACTGCTGGTTGCTGATACATCATGAAATTGTGACACCTCTGAAGGTAAATTCAAATATGAAAGTGCGAGTGATAATTCTCACGGTTTGAAACTCAAGCACTACTTTTAAATAGAAAGTATCCCATTTTTTATGCGATTTTTCAATCCATCATCGGTTTCAAGAACTAATAGTCGGTGTCCTATAATGTATAGGACACCTCGAATCAACCCAACTCGGAGACATCCAGATCCCAGCGGATTTCATTCGTCGTGTCGTGGCTGTGGGAAGCAGAAATCTCTCTATCTCTCTCTCTTGCTCTCGCCCTCTTCGGGATCCCGTGATGGCCCGGGACAGCTGAGCCCGTGATGGGTACAAGTCCCGGAAACCCACTAAGCGAGGCACGTCTCGGGAGAGCCGCAATGATCCGGCATGAACACCACGACGCACGTCCCGACCGTCATCGTCGCCAGCTGAGAACATGACACAAATGTGGCACAAGTCATCAGAAAATGTTTCTGTGTAGAGCGAAAAAGAAGCGCGAGATATATTCAAGAGACAACAGACCATCGCGTGATCAATATCGCACGACCTGTTTTTTTTCTTTTTTCTCTAATGCAGTCGAGAACATCGAAATTCCTCGGAAAATAATAAAAACGTGCTTTGACGTCTCCGAGAAGTGCGAGGAATTTTTCGATGCAAATCTACAATTGTAGCCTGAAGACTATGCTCCCTTTTCCGATGCTAAAATCCCTTCATCACACCTCCATACATTGTTTGCGTTTCTTCAAGAACTCTGACTCTTATTCTTCAAGAAGACGAGAGCATACAAGTTTTAAAAATTCTAGACCTATCATCCAAATCAAGTTCTCGCATTCAAAGCTGAGTTCAACGGACTCATCCGCGTCAGTGTTACTAGCCAGTTACTTTTACATTTTGTTGATTAATTTTGTAAAAAAAAAGTTACACTCGCTTCCATTTGAATAAATATATTATCTGTTGAAACCTCAAATTGCTGATTTCAATTCACAGAAGTTCAAACTTACCTTGGATAAGGTCAGCTACCTTTCCACTTCAGGATAAACTCAGGATTTTTTTTTCACAGCAAAGGCACTTCTCAATTTAACCCGCCAAGGTCGAAACTATGTCTCTGAATTGAGTGAACCTGATCTGGGAAAATTAGGGAAAAGTATTCCTTCTGCGTTCAGAATTATTCAGCAGTAATCCTATGCTAGGAATGCAGGAAAACAAACTAGCAAGCAGGGTTTTTTTCAGAGAAACTTTTTTTAAAGGGAGATAACAAACTTTCTTTAAACTTGGCTGATGGGATCTAACTTCATGTTTTTTTGTCATTTCAATGCTCTTGCTGGGCACAACTTTCGTAAAAATATTCCAGCTTTGAAACTTAAACTGATTAAATTGTGCCATCCTTTCTGACGGGCCCTTCAGCATCACACTTTACAAATGCCCCCCGCACCCGGTATACAAGGATAGCAAAAAAATAAAAGAAAATCCACCAAAATGAAACTCTCTCTCTCCCAACCAGAATTTGACTCAGTATATATTGTACTGTATTTGGAGTTTGCAGGAGAGCTTCCATTGATTGACGTTCGTGACAACCGGGAGTCGGCAGCATGTTGCAGCAGACGATCGAATCCCCGGGTTCTCCGGAGCGAAAAATCGACTGTGACGACGAGGGCGACGGTCGTGTAGGCGCGACGTTGAGGCACGGGAGACCCGACCCGGAGCTGCGACGAGCTGGTCTTTGTTGCGCTTTAGGGGCGCGTTAATTGCGGGGCGTCTTGAAGGGCGAGTGAGCGAGAAAATAAAACCAAAAAAACATTTCATCAGTAGTTATACAGTATAAAATAAAAAAGTCATCTATAGAGGGGGAGAAGTGAAAAAAGAAAAGCCCCGCTTCCGATCAGGATTAATCGAACGAACGAACGAATGCACAATGACAGCTGCTCAGTGAGAAAAAAAAATAATAAAGAAGGAAGAAAATCAGTGCATCGACCAGAACGTTTTCCACCATAAGAATCCGGCATGCTGTGATTATTTCATGCACGCAAGCTATCGTTGAAAACAACTCTCATTCGAATTCATCCTATATTTATGAGCCCGAAAATCAAGCTGATCAACAGCTAAATTTAAGAATTTCGTCTTTTGTCAAACCTCTCAAAAGATTTGTGAAATTCTCTCAATTTAATGATTTTTCGAACAAAAATTGAGGAATTTCCTCTTGAATGATAAAATAACGATGATTTTTTGTTTCTTTCCTTACTTGGGTCACCAAAAATTGAAAGGAATACAATTTCCATGAAAACTGATGCATAAAGACAGAACGATCTTGCTAGTGCGTTCAGGCTCCTTCACAATCATCTCAAGAGCTCAGGAAAAGACTTTTTTTCAACAAAAGAAAAGTTTATAAACATTGGCAAAAACGCCATGCTCAAGGTCATACAACCGAGAAAAATAATTCCTCATTTGAATTGAATATAAAAAAGTACTGTACACTATAGAATTGTGCTGTAAAGCTGCAAATGCAGATGAAAATCACAAAAGGATACAGTTGAACCTCAATTACTCAAACCTCCTCAAGTCAAAATTGTTTCAAGTCCTTGTCTGAATTCCCTTTAAATCAATGCTTCAAAAACTCCGTTCACTCGAAAGGTTTTCCTCATCAAACCTTCATAACCCAAATTTTCCAAAGGTCTTTTCCAATTATTTCATTGTTACAGCTATTACAGCAGAGATAAAATGAAAAGAAATGTAAATTTATGTTCCTTAAAAAGGAATTGAAAGACTAATTAAGCAAATGAACCCTTGATTTCAGTCCAGCATTCTGTCAATTCATTCAAAAAGCTCTTGAGAACCTATAGAATATCACCAATTTCAATTTTGTGGAATTATATTTCCTACTGTTAAACACAAATGCTTGTTTCCTAATAGCTGGAAGAATCCCAAACCCGAAGTTTTGTGCTGGTCCCATGAAGTTTCACTTGAATTATACAAAAAATGGATTCATTAAATTTATAAGGGCATTTCAACTAGCCAAAATCTTCTACTAAAAAAAAAAAACTCAGCTTTCTGGCCCTGTTCAGGACGCAGTTTATTCCTTTTCATTTTGCACTGCACGATCAATCCGATGTTGATTTCGTATTTTTTCATTTTCAAAAAAAAAACGAACCGACCACAGCAGTATAGTAGGCCCAACGACGAAGAGGAAAAATAAAAGGTGCAACAGGATACCGTAAACGATGCCCTGAGGCGTATAGCAATAAGTTGATCCACGGCCTTCATGCTCGGATTGTTCTCGCTGTGCTGCGACGCCTCTCATTTTGTCACGATCCGGAAGATGATGACCACTGGCGATGTCCCAATCGTCCCGGCGGAATTTCGGCCTCGCTTTATTCTTTTCCGTATAAACATCATGTATTTTTATACACCACAATACATGTAATCTCTCTTTCCTGTTTTACACCGCGGATTTTCGGGCGGGTCCCGGAGCACGATTGACCGAAAATGAGCCCGTTTTCTTACGGGGGCACGATCGCGAAAATCACGGCATGCGACATCACGCGAACCTATAGATTGAAAAGAGCGAGAAAGAAAATAAACCCTGGTTTCCGGGCAGTTTTTCAGGCTCCATCTGCGGATCCTTTGGCTCAATCCCTGTTTTTACCCGCACTTTTCCNGGGTTCATACATGGAATGGATTGAATTCTTCCCCATGGAAGTCTATGGGAAAATAAAATTTCATTTAAAAACATTTGTCTGGAACCAATTGAGTTTGTCAAATGAGGTTTGACTTCACCATATTTTACTGTGCGCTGAACAGTTCCCGAAAAAAAAGCTGAAAAACTCACATGCGGCTCAAGCTCAGATAACTCGAGGAATATGTATGCACTACTATTATCAAGATGTATATGTGGTTATGCTTTAAAAAAATATAGAACACCTGCACAATATAATAAAATATTTTACTGCATATGGATTAATTCAGCGTCGTTCGCCTCAATCTCTTCTTCGCTTCCCGAATCACTCCTAAGAGCAATTCGCATGAGGAAGTTTGAGTGCATGGATTTTTGAACCTTGTGAAAAGTTTATGGCATTATTCAGTAAGTACAGTACAGTACTTGCAGATTGCAGGCACACGCGAACGAGTTTTTGTTTAATCATAATTGTGAACTTGGGGGACCTTCGGAGAGGTGAGAAATGGCAGTTCAAGGTTGATTCGGATTATTCTCTCCTGATTGTGGCCAGCATGAATTACACCCGAGAATGAATGCTTCAGACAATTGCGATCGAAGTTTTTCCGATTGGTAACGCTTCGAACAACAAAAGTTGCCACCTATCATGCGCTGGCACAAGTAAAAATTCGAGTTGAGTCATTTGATATTTTTCATCATGGTGATTTAAGCGGATGGTGCCTTCGGAACAGGGTTATTAAATTGAGTGATGTTTTTGTCGGCATCCGATTACTTTAATCAACGCCTTCAATGAACTTGAAAACGAATGCATTCATCATTAGAAAAACGCTCAACGCCAGAATAATGCATTGTTTATTTCCTGAACAATATTGGAAATCGAGGCCATGAGAGATCCATTTTCATCCGATTGAACCGAAACGTCCGCGACTCGTCATCCAAAAACATTCGTTTTGAAAAAGGTGTTTTTAATCTGAAGGAGTTTGAAGAAATCTTCAATAAATGTTCCCGCAAATACGAGTACTGTACTATATTACTTTTTTATATTAAAGTTATATCCAGTTCATGAATCAGCTATACAAAGAAACTTCAAAATATTCGAGTCTATGAGATTCAAAAGAGGCCTCAACGCTCATGCACTGTATTTTATGGTTCGTCCCGAACTTATTCCGTTAAAACTAGATTCTAATAAGTTTAACAGCAAGTTTAAAATAAAAATTTGTTTTAGGTGAAAAAATTGAAAATGAGTCAAGCTCATGCTCGGTTCACATTTAAATTCAACTTGGGGGCTCTTAGTCTTGAACCATTGTGGCTTTATAGTCAAGAAAAGTGGGGTGCATTTCTAACTCGGGGATAGGGTCTCATCAAAATTTTAAACTGGAAACACCAGTTCATATCTAAGGGTCCACTCCATGGTATTCAAGTGAATAATGTTGAATCTTGCCAAGTGATTTGAACCTTTAATTTTTTACTTGGGTCCATTATAAAAAAAAATTGATAGAAATAAAATTAAAAGGTTATTGTGCCGGCTATATTGGCCATACAGGGACTAAAAAAAATGCTCCTTGAAAGCATTAATTCTTCGGAAATAGATATGTTTCAATGAGATTTTACTGTTGTGCCATATTATTCTTTGAATATAATCAAAGTTATCTTATTCAACAATGAATAGCGCGCCTGTCACAAACTGAATATTTTTGTTTCTTGTGTGCGCAGAAGACATCAGGCAACTGAAGCGCTTTACCCCAAAAAAAAGAAGTTCGTTTCCTGATTTCACGTCAGCTAATTTATTTAAAGTCATGAATCAAAACATAACATATATATCTTCGTTTGCCTGACAGGTCTCGTGGAGTTGCGGCAAACGAAACGAAACCTTTTCCGGTGTCTCGTCCGAAGAATGCGTAACGGTTAATGGGCTGTTTACCAGCAGCAGCACACGACGACGATGACTGACTCCGCGTGGCCCCGGTTTGCCCCATAAACGCGAGGCGCAGTTAATTCTCGCGTTATGCGGGATTTGGCAACAGGCTCGCGGGTTTTCATTAGCAGGTAGCCAACCGAGGTTCCTTATGGCACGGCAGCGTTTGACACGGTTCCACTGATCTGGCGGAGATAATGACGCGGGCGATCAGGATTAATACGTCCGCGCCCATCGTGTCCGGCCGGAACCGAGCATCAGCAATACGGCAGGAAGAAGGCAATTTTCTGCGCAGCTTTTTTCTATTCCCGTCCCGACTCTCTCTCTCTAGGCTTTGCTGTCCCATTATTACGAGTCGGTCTTACAATATAGTATAGGCGTCGAATGGATACACAGAATATACAGCAATAGTACAGGGTAGATATATATAGGAGAACCCCTTGAATCTGATGGTTATTATTTACTGAAAAAGCACAGTAAGGCCCGTTAGACCCCTATCGAAACCACCTCACATTTTATTTAGTAGTAAAGAGCTGGCTTAAAACATACCTAATCTTAAAAAACTTCTGCATATCCATAGTCACAACATGCATGATGAAAAGGTCCTCTCCCAAATCTTTGAGAACAATGAGGAGAAATTGATTACTTCATTTGATTTCTCCTCAAAGATTCTTTCAAAATTGTTCGATTGATTGAAAATTATCTGAGAACAGGATGAACACGGTGTCCATATGGTTTCCTACTATCTTTTTTTTTCATTGTGGTCAGTAGACGGATTAAGCGGGTTGGACCATTCAAGAAGAAAAGGGATTTTGGCACCAGCCTCAGGGATGTGCGCCAGGCGCCATGGGCTAATACCCCACAAATTGTGCAGAAAGTAAAAGGGTATTTTTGAAAGGGGGACCATAACTTTCCTCCAAGCCTCAGGTACAGTATATGAGGAATACTAAATACGCTTTCTTCAGGAGTATCCAAGTTGCCTGGTGTCCTGTTGAATAGTTCGAAAAAAACGTACTAAAAGGTGACGAGTGTTAACTTAAACGAAACTAAAGTTGTTAAGAAACTTACGGCGGATGTACTAAAGTTGAATACTCCTTATGTCGAACCAATAAATAACCACATTTTTTTTTGCCTTGACCTTGCACTGGTTCCAACATTTGATGAATATAATTTTAATGAACTCTTGGTTGATGACGAGGAAAATTAAAACGTTTCCATATTGTACTTGTGGACCTTCTGTATATCCCTTTTGTATTGTACATGAAGAATGCTTGAATTATTGGTGAATTGACTTATTGGAAGTACCATAAATGAGAGGTCCCAAAAAACACAGCATGATTACGAATGCACCTGGCAATTAGAGAATGAACCGAGCAAAAACGGACCCCCTCCCAGCCTCCTGGCGAAGGAACAGACGGTTTAATCCCTTGGAGTTGAACAATGTGGGATAATATAGTAGGAAACCATTCCTAGGACCGTCTGTACTTCTTTGAACAATTATGCAGATTACGTTTTTGTTCGTGTTTGTTGTCACGTGCATCTCCTATGAACCTTTGCTATGAAGTTTCCTTTCAACTCATGTCTTGTACTTAACACAACCTCGGCACTTCTTCGTATTAGCGTGATTCGGTCAACACCTGATGTTTGCGTGGGGGCCCCTGCTGAAGTTACCTGCTAAATGCGCTCAAGGCTGCGTCGCGTTTGTCCGTGAAGATCCGTCGTCTTTCTTCGATCGACGGAGTCAACGTTTCGAAAGAATAATTCTCTTCTTGCTGGATCGTTTTAACGACTGGCGCCCTGCGAGTGATTCATTCAATATTGATTTTTCTCTTTTTGAGAAATGTGATCCTCACATTTCGTGCCGACGATATCTATTCACGTTTCTTTTGAAAAGAAAGGTGGTCTCGTTCTCGTGGCGACTGACGCTTAATTATTTTTGTTTTTCGCAGGGTGGATTCGCCAGGGTTCACGAGATGAAAGATTTGACGACAAACACAGTATTCGCCGGAAAAATCATCCCGAAATCCCGCATCACAAAGCCACACCACCAAGAAAAGGTAAGCACCTATTTTTGCGTCTTCTGGGTTTGCTTTTTTGTCGAAGTGTTTTGGCATCATCCCAGAGAATGCCGCGTATTTCCCCGCACCCTGCAACGAAAGTTCGTTACCGCGTACGACGACGACCTTAACTCGCGACGCCAATGTCGAGATCGTGGAGTACGCTACAGTACTGCCGTGTCGCACTCGTCGCTTACGCCCGTCCGCTTTTTGTTTGGTTTCGCGAACGACTGCTGCACGACATCCGGGGATTAAGCGACAATTTTTGTACGTTTGCTGACGCGCGCTCTGGTGTAGATGAGCTTTGGTTGACGGCTACGACATGGGAATGGACAGCTGAGGCGCGTTACCCTGACGGAATTGCTGATGCGGCATTGTAACCCGGCTAAGCATCGTTCATTATCCGTCTTGAAAACCCGGCAGTATTTTCGGGGCATTGAAGTTTGACTTCTGAGACAGTTTTAACTACAATACCTGTGTTTGTCATGTTTTTTTTCAAGACCTGCAACTTGAGAATTACGAAGACGTTTCAATTCTGTAAATCCAGCAAGTTAATGATTTGTATCATATTTCCGATCAACCACCGTCAGCGTTATAATGGATTTTTACGTACTGCGAATGTCCGATAATGCGACCATACCATTTTTAGCAAATGAAAATAATTTTATATTATCAGTATTACCCGCATATCCACAAGCCTTGGATGTTGTGTAATGCGAATCACTCGGGAGAGAAATGAAAAGGCTCGTATTGAAATTATGTTACTTCGTTATACTGCAGGTTCCCATGCGTCAAATTCCGGGATGGTGAAAGAAAGCGTGGTTATTCGAAGTTTTACTTCGAATCTGACGTAAATTTTGAAAAGATTTCCGTCGAAAAAATTTGATGAGCAAATTTTCACACTCGTAGAGGCTATGGGAGTACAGTACAGTATGGTAATTTTTAGACGCAATGGAATCTGAAGTAAAATAATAGACGTCATTTTACCGAAGACTTTCATGACTGAACCGATAAAATCAGCTGTTCTACTCCCGAGGCTGCGAGTGTTCGCAGAAAAATGTTCATGGTGAAGTGGATCAGTTCGTACGAGACTTAGTTTTGTTGGGGATGATTTATTGATTCGTGCATATTGGAATAGTTTTCGCGTTTCCCAGACTAAACGTGGAAATAATGCTACATGTTAATCGGTATTGATCGGAAAAAATAAATTATCGTCTGCAACTCTGGCTGAGTAATGGAAAATTTTCTCGCGAATTTGATTGGTGGATGCCCTAATTGGAATTCCGGGTAATGTTCTCGTTTCTCCGATATATTGCCTCAGGGATTGTGAAATAATATCATGTATGCGGTGCTCGGAATAAATTTCCGAGTGCACGAAGGTTTCCGACATTTTTTCTAATTTTTCTTGCATTCAAGAATCTTTTGTGCAATAGAATGCTAACTTTCTTAACGAGCCTCACATGTCTCCAGGTATATACAGTTAATTTCATTTATTCGCCGCTGTAAGTAACGTGCTGTACAGGATATTCAACGGAATCAGTTTTCGTCCATCTGAAATTTTATCCGCTACAACGTTTTCGCAAATGCCGAGTTCGTTCGCGAAAAATTTGTGGTGATTACCTGAGAAAAACTGCGAGGAGAAACAGACGGGTTGTATTTTTTAACGATCGACCTTGCGTGATGTTTGATGACGCGAAGTAATTCGAAGTACCGCACAAGTGTCCTTGGTGTTTCATCGTGTGAATGTGTAATGAGAGGCGGAATACGACCAGTCCGAGAAAAATGTCTTCTGTGCTTTGTCGGCCGCCGTGGAATGCGGTTTATTTTCATCCCTGTTGCGCGCTTTTCTCGTTTTTTTTTCTTGATGTTTTGGGAGTTTGCAAAACGTGTTTTTTTTTGTTACCGTCGCTTGTCCCTACTGGCCACTTCCTGGTTTTTCCTGTCTTTCTGGATCCTGGAGCCGTCAGCTTCGTTAAACAAAGCTCATTAAAGGCTCGAAAGCCAAGTCGACCCACCTCCGTACTCGCTTATTCAAGGAGAGATTTATCGATTTCCTGGGATTACGCAGCAATTGATTTTCTTTAAATTACTCATTTCTTGGGATGCATGCCCTCGGGGAAAGTCGTAATGCTTCAATTTTAAAGCAATGAGCTGCTTGTTGAGCCGGAACTGAATCGACTCCTTTTCATTGTCGATAAAAAAAGAAGAAAACTGGGTGACATTTTCTTCGAAGACGTGGACTGGAAATTTGCTTGTTCTGAACACAGTACCAGTCTTGTGTGACCTGTCGTATACATTTTCTTGAGCATCTTCCCAACGCGGAAACTCAGAGCCATTTTCAAAATTTCCAGGTTCTTGGGTCTGATTTCGATGAAAATGGTCATTTCCATATTTAAGACGCATTCATGCATTGACGTGTCGAAAGGGAAGCCAAGCTAATCCAAGTGTTTTCCCCTTTCATTTTACAGATAAACCGAGAAATAGATGTGCACAGGAGCCTGAGCCACCAGCATGTCGTGGGATTTCACGGCTGCTTTGAAGACATGGATAATGTTTACATCGTTCTCGAGAACTGCCCTCGTAAGGTGAGTCACTGTTGATTTTGTTGGATGATGATTCCATGATATCGCGGCAGCATAAGGATATGTTGCTCGGCGAATCTTCAGAATTCATTGGTATGGACGAAAAATTGGAAAAAATTTCGAATACCGTGGCGTTTGTTTGTCTTTTAATATGAGACGGCTTTTGAGAGAAATGATTCGCCCCCAGAATTAGTGCGAATTTTCTGCCACAGTGAGATGAGATAGCCAACAATGTTGACTCAGTACTGGTTTTGCGGAGGTTTTCTCATGGTTGCTCGTGGGCGGGAAAAAATACGGCAATCCTCCTGTTCAACGTAAAGCGGTAATTTTTTGTTGGAACTCCTGTTGCATGGATCTCGTTCATCCGGGCTAGTGAAATGGTTTCGTCCTCATGATGCAAAATCGAAAGGATAGAATATCAACCTACAAATGAGGTACTGTATATTATACAGTGACACAAGGAAGAATGTAAGATCAACATGATGCGACATTCAGCGAAACAAGCTCATCGCATCACTGACGATCATGTTTATATTATAACTTTTTTGACCCGCGGAGAGTAGTACTGTACTGCATTTGTTTTTCTTGGAATATGGGTGAACATCATTACTGTATATGGGCGCTGTTCAAATTCTGTAATGGTTCGATTAGTCATTGTCCCGTGGCCGACGGAAAACACTTGCCTATTTGAAGCCCATCAAACTTTTGGAATGATTAAATCTGGCTGCATAGCTTTCGGGGATCCCTCCTGAGTGAACCAGCTGACGCGATTTTTTGTGACTGGATCTAACTTTTACCGCGTACCGTTCTTTCGTCGCAAACTAATTGCCCTGACGAACCCAGGCGTGACGCATCCGAAACGTGCATCGTCGCAAACTGGCACTAGTTACCTCCGCGTTCCCCTGCCGTATTTTGTGTTGGGGTTTTGTCGCCGAACCTAGGGGTCTTTGCCACATTGTTGGCATCCGCTGGAATGTGCGAGGGTGTTTTGAAAAGTTCGATGCATTATGAGGCGTGTTGGGAGTGCGAAATGCAGTCACGTTGCTTACTGCCTTCTCGATTACGCGACCTTCACTTACAGTTATTTTCTCCTGGTCGCTCACGTGAGGGACTTGAATTTTAATGAATTGTAAATGCGCCTCATTTTCATGAATTCAAATGAGATGCATTTTAAATTTGTAATTTGTTCCTGGCTGACAAACATTGGCACACTGGGCCGTAATTTTACTGTTAACCGAGCGAGATGGTCGCCAGTGCGACATCAAGGACAGTCCGGAGTTGAATTTATTGTAGAAGATATTTCATCGTCGAAGTGTCGAGGCAGTCGGTTAAACTCAGCGTTTCGCCAGTGCATGCTGCGTATAAACGCGAATTCGTGAGTTAACGAACTTGTCAAACCATCCTCGCATAAACTCCGCGGCATTCCCCAGCACGAGTGGGAAAATTCCGCAGTTTCGACTTCCCGGGTTTTTTGGACGTGTCCCAAACAGCAGGTGGGCTTGTCCTGTTATTCCGAGTAGCGTGAGATTCAATGCACAAATGTGCTCTCCAGCGTTTTCTTGTATTATTTTTCGAGGGACCATTTCTTTGTTCCATGGAGCCAGGCTTGATTTCATGTCGGTACTTGGGTCGAAGTACCGTATTTACACGACTGTTGGCCTCGAACAATTGAGAGGCGCATACAGGGTTGTTCATAAAAATTGAATTAGTTTCTCGATTTCCCGATCCGAACGTTTCAAAAATGACGTGTAAAAAGTTTAGTCTAATCTACTCTAAATGAATGTTTTATTCAGTTGATTTTAGTTATTTCGATTTTGAATTTCAATTACGATGTTGCTATGACAAATTCTGAAACTTGCGCAAGTGAGGAAACGATTGAATTATATTTCATTCTTGTCATATCCTTTTTTCTTGCCTGTTTTCCTCAATGCTTTTAAAGCAGAATTTATTTACCGTCATCAGGCCTTTTTTATTCCCACCATTCGGATCGTGTGTATTGCACCAAGGAGAAAACTGTTACGAAGTGCTAGATCACAAGTACAGTACATCCACATTGCGAAAATGCAATAAATTAATTTTTTCTCCGAAAAGCAATTATGAACGATGTGTGAGCTGGTAGACTATTAGTCATATTTAAAATCCTCCTGAAAGGGAGGGTGACCAAAAGATTTTTCAGGCTCCAGAAACTTAACCTTGGTTAGAATTTTACAATCAAAAAAGGAAAATAAAAGCATATCTCCAATCTTCAAATTTTGTTTACATTAATTGCTGCGCTTCTACTGCACAAGTGAACAGATTTTTAATCGACTGTACTCCTGATAAGACCTTTCCCTTCAGACTTCCTTCCACATCGTAAAGTATAACATCTTTGTGAGGATGATCACTTCAAACAACACGCGAATACATTTGCAGGGTAGAAACGCTAACGAAAGTACTGTACTGTACTATGATCAGGAAAACTAGCTTACAGATGGGGTTTCAGGGTGCTTCGATCTTTTGAAGTTATTTTTTCGTATGTATAAGTTCATCAAAACAAAGGGAATGAAGAGACCTTTGATCGCGCTACCAACTTGAATAATAAAAGATGTATGTATAATTGAATAATACTGTACTTGTATTGAATTAAATATCTCGCGGTATAATAGTACATTAATTTCTCCATATGGTTGTTCTCTCCTGCTGGGATACATTTCCGGCATATCGGTAGAAGAGTTGGATCGGCACTGGTCCGCGGTTTGTTGTACATTGGTCTACACTCTACACTATTCCAAGCATGAGCTTATGTAGCTGTGGTCTATAATCGCGTAAATACTGGTACTTGACGGGGGTTTTGGGGTATTATTGTTGGAACCTGACCTGTGCGGAGCCCTGGCCCCGCTGTGGGTGACGGACCCGGGCGCGTGCATCAGCTGATTTCCGTGTGTTGATGGGTTAGGCGCCAAGAACTCTGTTAGGGCGCCAAGAACTCCTTTGCCCTGAACGCGTCGCGTGAAACGGCCTGACTCTTATCTCCCCACTCCATGTCGACTTCGCGCAGTGTCGTATGTGGCGTCCCTTGCAATGCCCGTATCGTCGTGGCGGACGTAGATTGGAGTCCCTATCGTTTTTGTTTTCGCGGTATTCGGTTATCTGGCTTCCAAACTGCGGCATACGAAACAAACCAACCATTGCGGATATGTTGACGCAGCAACTGTACATATTGTCGCCAAAATCCGGTTTCGAGATGTTCCGGGCGTTTTGCGTACATCTCATTGCAATGCATACTCTGCTATCGCGGGCTTGCATCGCGTGTAGATCCACCTGTCGCTAACGATTTCATCATTAATACCTTAGCCTTTTGGATGTTATAAGCGTTTCGTACCTTTCTGTAATATTGCGCGCAATGCGTTGATCATGGTTTTTTTTTTCGTTTGGCGTTAGAAACCAATGATTCTCCATCAATTCAGTTTTAATCAGTACTGTAAAATGCGCAGTCCCAGAGGGACTTTTATGTCTCTCTGGGAGAACTTGTTCCTAACCTCCACCATGTCTTGAAGATAAAAATTCAAATTTGCCTACAGTATTGGTTTTGTTAGCTTCATGGGATGATTATCTCTTGACAAATTAGCTGGAAGTTCAGATTTTGGTGCGTTCTTCATATATTGCTTGTCATCACTTCGAGCAAGGGTTGGTAGTCCTGGTTTTGGAGGAATGGTAATGAACTCTCGCAGTCCATCGTTTTGCTGGGCTTATGACTGTCACCTTCCGAATTAGCAGGAATGACTCAATATAGAAAAATCTTCTAACGTGACCTTATGCAATGCTCTGATTTTTAGAGCATGTGTAAATCAAGGATTAGTTCGAATGACACGAGATAATCGTTTTGGTATGTGCGCCTTTTTAGAGTCGAGTACTGCACAAGGATTACCGTATTCTCGGAAGAAGGTGATAACGTTTGTCAGAGACAGTCCTGGCATAAACGAAGAACACTGTTTTCGAAAGACACTGTTGAATGAATTCGTGATTGATCAAAGCTTAGATTATGTAGTTAGTTTCCGTCGGGTAAATCCTGGACGACTTCAGAATTCATAGACTCCGGAACTCCTGTCGGTGTTTCCTACAGTATTTTATCTACTCCGTGTGAGATACGGAAAACAAATGCTTGGGATCAGCAATGCATTGTTCCTCGGGCTCTGCGTGCTGGAGATAAGGAAAGGATGATCGGGCTGATGTTTTTTTTTCGTCAGGGTGTTCCATGTTTGCTATGCTAGCGTTGTACTGGATTTCAGTCCCGTGATTTGTATATTTTCCTCTCGCTCTTCCACAGAGTCTCGTGCATGTACTGAAGCACCGAAAAACCTTGACAGAGCCCGAGGTGCGCTACTATATGTGGCAACTAATCGAGGGTGTCAAGTACATCCATTCAAAGAACATCATCCACCGCGATCTCAAGCTGGGCAACATGTTCCTCACCGAAGAGATGGTGATGAAGATCGGGGACTTCGGTCTCGCAGCGCGTGCTGATCCGACGTCACCGTCCAAAGCGTGAGTAGACCCTCGCTTTTTGCTACCTTTGCTTTATTTTTTTTCACCAGCATGTATTGGGAAAATTTGATCAAACCTCTTTATTTCTCGAGTGGTCTTTCCTTTCGAGCTTGTTCACTCATTTTAAAAGACGAGACGTGATCCTGGGAACCGACGGAAAAAAAGACCCCAGGCAAAATTCAATCGGGTTAAGAGCGTCCGTGACAATTATTTATTCACTCGGTCAACTTTTTGTATATTTTCCAAAATGCAGAAAAGCTTTGCTTTGGCATTGTTTTGAAATGACCCGCTTTTACATCTAGAACGCGCTGTTCATTAATACACTCCCGAAACAATGTTATAGGCAGATTAAGGCAAGTTTAAAGCGAGGCTAGCCCCTTAAAAAAATCGGGTTATGGATGCTTTCATCCTGACACGGGGTAAAAAATTCGCTACGATACCACACAGAGCTTTTGTCTGACTGACGAATATTTCCATGCGTCTCTTCTCTTAATTACTTGTGAAATCATGAGCGATAATTTGTTTGCTTCGCACGTCAGCTTCATCGATTACTCGACATCTCAGAGATATAACGTATTCGTTTTTGTGTTTCGCTGGTATGTGCGCTCGTGTTTCTGTAAAAAAAAAAACGACTTTTCTGTCATTCGTGAGCAAAGTTTTGGAAGCTCTTAGAAAAGGCTTCTCAACCCGAGGGATTACAGGCGAAACTTACACTTCGTGCGTGGAACACAATGGGCCTATGTGAAATGTTTATGCAATAGTTTCGGGCTGACGTTAAGTTTTCCGCATGAAACCACATCGTAAGATATACGACACGGGCTCGAAGTAATTATGCTGAGCTTTCTATTGTTCGAACTCTCAGCAGAGACTTTCTGAAATGATGAAATCATACGATTTTCTCCGGGTTTCATCCGCCGCGTCCGCAACGAGGCGACTGCAATTCCAGGCGCCTCGTTTCATCTTCGGGATGCCTGCTTGCATGATGAGGCATGTTCGCTCGAGCCCTTGTGCAAATTAGGCCTTGTTGTTTTTGGCCGGGTTGCGGTGGGGCGCGTTTTGCGTGGGGTCTGCGCTGCAGGTGTTGTGTGTGACATGGTCGAGGTTGCCACGCCTTCGGGTTTTGCAGGTTCGCGTCTTGCATAAATACTCGAGCTAATGACGTGAGGCTGTTGCCTCTCCGCTCTCGTTTTCTCGCCCTTGAAATTGCTGTGAACCGTGGATTATTGTTTCTTGTCGACTGCTTCCCCCCCCCCCCCTGAAACTTACACGCTTGAGCAGGATAGGGGCATCGTTCTCCACTGTGAGCAATCTCGGAAAAAAATTGCGAGCAGCTCGGCCCCCCTTTATTTTCTCCACGAAAAATTGTTGGTCTATTGAGTAGCGAACGGTTCTTGACTTTTTGCCCTTCAAACGAGAGCTTCTTGATGCAATTACCCTTTCGACGATCGCTTGCACAGTTCGTTTTCGACTGACCTGAATGTCGAATCGGATAATTTTCTTCGACTTGAATCTTTGAGATTGAAATTAAAATAATGCTCCCGCCTGCAAAAAAAAGAGTCCTCACGTTGAGAGTACCGCATTGACGCAAATAATGTACAACGCGTATTCAAGCCCCATCCCCTCCAAATCTTGCTAGAAAAAGGGGGTTCGCATCATGAGCGAACATTAATCATGGGGCTCGTGTGAAATTACCAGATTTTCTTTTGAAAGCTTAAGCGCGCGCCGCCTACAGGGGCGTGCTATATTGAGTGAATACGGGCTGTATGAACACATGGAACATAATTTTCTGTCACATTACTTTGTCATCCAGGGGCACGTCATTGAAGCTTAACGCGATTTCTGCGGATTCTGTGGATTTTTTTCGTGAGAAATCGAATACCTGCGCGCGTCCTCTCATAGTACTCTCGGTTTAGTATACGGTGTTGTACTTCAATTCCAAAAAAATAATTGCAAATAATTGGATAATTAGCAATTGTAGTTATCTCTGTTGAGGGTAGGTGTTGTGAGTCTTAACTTCTGGGCCTCTTCTACATGTTCATCATGTTGGGCTCATCACAATAAGCGCTGGTGTCTTGTTTGTGGTTAAGGGTTCATAGATCAGATTGTGTCGAGATTTTGGCAGCTGGAAGGACAAATGACGTTGTTGCTACTGAAGGGAAATTGGCAATCTGAAGGCACAACACATTTTTCCACCAACTACGGGAACATCACCAGCTTTGTGAAGTCACAGCCGGGAAGCATTTCGGGACGATGCCACCGGATGAAGGGTCGTTTCCCCGTGTGAAAGTATTGTTTAAGGACTGGCATGGCGATGGGTTCAGACGAGGGTTCCCAGACGAAAGAAGGGGATTTCTCCGGGCGGGCTCCCCTCGTCCATTGACGGCTGCCATTAGACCGACGGTGCGAAATTACTAACTAACACGCTCCGAAGAAAACCAGGTTCATAACCCGAACAAACTTACCTTCTGTGTGCTTCATTCGGGGGTTTCCGTTTCCGGGTCAGAGAAGCCATTTCAAGGCGTGCTCAATTTTTCGCTCGGATCCCACCGCCTTTCTCCTTCGTGCGAATCGACCCGAGTTCAACGCAACGAAATTACGGCCGAGGTTTCGGTTTGGCTTCTGTTTTTGTATTCTTTGGATCCGACCTCAGGCCTGTCGTCATGAATCGTGGGAATTTTCTGCTGGAAATACGGGTCCCCGGGGTCCCAGGGAAAGTGTAAGCTGCTTTGACGTAATCCATGCTTGAGTTACACGCTTTAAGACGTAACCGAGTCCTCTCGATGATGCATTTATAGACGGCTCCCAAGCTTTCCTTCGCTATGAATGCCACCGAAATGCATTGGTATATTTTTTACATGAAAAAGTCGTGCGCCCGAAATCCACCCGCAGGTTTATTTCATCACCCGCTATCGAATAAAAGCATTTTCTTCAGATAAATTATCGTTACTTATGATGCAAGAAATCCAGGCCTGTGATTGTTTCAGAGTGAATAATTGGTTTCTCGAAACGAGAGACGCTGTTCCGCTTAGCGTTCAATCTTAGTTATTCTAGGGTTGGTTTGGAGTATTTGTCAGTTCTTCGCTTTCTTTGTTTTGAGTATTGCGGATGGAATTCTATTTTGTTTTCTGAACACCTCCAATTTTTCCTTGCCTGAGTGGAAATCAATGAAAGACAGGGGAAAGGGCACCCAATAATGGCGATAAAAAATTTCATTTGTCAAACGCGTCATGTAAAAATTTCTGTTTTCAACGTTAGTGTTGATGCTACAGATCTGACACCATTATTTAATGGAATACGTGTTCTGATCCTGCCAAGTGGTGAGTTTGTGACGCTGAATATGAAGGTTGCTTTGATAATTTTAATTACTGTATATGAGCGAAGAGGTTTCCCAATTTTACTGCCAGAAAAGTCGTGACTTACTACAGTATCAGAGGCTTCGGTCTAACTATTGGTCCTACGGTGGGTGTGATTGAAAGGTTGCCTTGTGACCCAGAAACTTCGGCACCGAGAAAGAACTTCATTTTATGATTCTGAAACATATGAAACACTTGTCCGTTTCAGCGATTGTCGAGCTTTTCTGTGCGATATCAATTTACCTTTTTCCCGGAGTTTCTGAATTTCTTTTAACTGGGGCAGTTTTTCGGATTTGACCGTCGGCCGATCGCAGTGTTGAACAAGTAGCGCGATTTTTCATTCCTAGAAACTGTTTTATCACCTCGTGTCATCGCGGCCTCGTTGGTTTGCTCTGGGTTTGATCGAGGATTTTCGATGAGGTGAAGCGCTTGCTGCAGGGCTTACTTCGTTGTGAAAGGAGAGGTGATTTCGCGAGACTGCGCGTATCATGCTGATTCGCCGTAGGAGGTGAATGTCCGTGCCATCGCCTCGCTCGGGTCCCGCGAGTGCGTTGGCCCCGTAATATCCGTTCAAACTCACCCCCCCCCCCCCCCCCCCCCCCCCCCCCCCACGGGTCCCGCGGGTGCGTTGGCCCCGTAATATCCGTTCAAACCCCCCCCCCCCCCCCCCCCGAGTTCCGTGGTTCACACGTGCCCTTACTTGCTCAGTAGAAAACCCTGGGATGAACCCTCATTCTCGCGGCGAATTGCGTCCGGCGGAATTGTCCTCCCGGCTGCTGCTGGAGGAAGATGGTTCATCGGCAAGTTCCTTCTGTTGAGTTGGAAAGGAACGGGAAACTTGACCCCTCGCATTGTCACATGCCAAGTCAATTTTTGAGACGTTTTGAAACTGCTGCATGATAGATGGATGGCGTGGAGAAATTGAGGGCGAGAGGAAATGACGGGAGAGAAAATTTCGGTCATTGCCTCACCATTTCAATGGCACAGTACTTCTGTCGAGTTTAATGTCATCTGGTTCACTTCGCATCGGAAAGGTGGTCTTGACTTATTTTGGTCGCTTCGCAAAATTTTATTTTACGATTTGTGTTCGAAATTTGGTATTTGGTTTCATCAATCGAGTCGTCGAGGGTTGCTTCGGAATAATAATTATAGATTCCATGGGGAATTAAGATTTCCTAAGGTTCTTTCCATATTTGAAAGTATTCTCCGTGGGCCGTTCTATTTTTTTTCGTTCTTCCTAGTACAATAAAGTTCCAGAAGTGAATAACGGAAAGCAAACAACTGAATGCATGTTTGTACAGTGTCATGGCATTTTTAGATCAGTTCATTGGGGATTTAATAAATATGCTTCCTCTCCATATTAGTTAGAATGGAATATCATTACGAACATGGAATGCAATTCCATCCTCGAATGCAATTTCTAAGCATCGGGCGATCACACCAATATTAAAATTAAATTTCAATATCAAATGAATTTCCATGATTTCTGTATTTTATACTGGCAAAGGCATTTGGTCATGAATTCGGATAATTGTGGCTATTTTGTACCTCACGGCAGAGTGATGAGCTAATGACCCCGCAACATCGCGATGTGTTCGATGCATCACGTTCGATTCGGGTGCCCTGAAGATCTGCTCGGAGACCTTCGAAA